AACTCTTGTTCACTTGTTACTTTTTCAATTTTCAATTTTACATTTTTATCTTTTGAAGTTTCAGCTAGCCGGACTTTCCACTAAAATTTGTGTCAAAGTCCAAACCTAACCTCTTCATTTCATCATTAACATCTTTATTTAATTGATCGTTAGCTCTTAAATTCGTTAATGTGATCTCACCCTTTGACTTTAGGACTTCTTTGTATGCTTTTCATCTAACTTTGGCATCCCATCTACTTCCGCTTCTAACTTTTTAATCCGCTTGTTGAGCTGATCCCTCCTGAGTCGTTGTTTCTTTTCTTCTAGCAACTTAATTCTCAACTCAAGATCTTTATCAGACTCATGTTGCTTTAACGCGTCACTCTCTTTGTTTTAAGTGGCGTAGTGTAAATTAAAGCAGCGGCCTCATTTAATTTGTTCGACTCATCATCTGACATAAGGTCGAGTATATCATCTTCCTCTGCATGAAGTTACAACTCATCCCGATCCGAATTACTATCGGCCATTTTCTGAAATATATACTCAAATGCCATGTCATCTATACCAGAAGTTCCAAAATTACTAAATTTTTTATAGTCTACTGTCGCGACTTTTCTAAGGTTTCAACTCCCTCAGGCAAAGTTGACCTTAGATGAATTTGGTTATTTGTTTTGAGCATTTTTGTCATATAGCTCTTCAACTGTTTCGGTACTTATACATCCCTCGGATTTCAAATGTTTGGCTTTGAGCGTTCCTGATGAAGGTAAATCCAGAAAAGCGCTTCGGACGCATGAAATTATGAAACGTGTTGTTTTCAATTTTTTTTTCTCTTAGGACGATCCATAATTTACGGAAATACTACATAAAAGTAACAAAAACTCTATAAATCTCAACGACGACGACAAGCGTTGATAAAATTTGAACAAACAACGAAATGCTCAAATTAAATAAAGAATATCGACAATTCGCCGTAAACTATTATTCCTTCTGAAAAAATGAACAAACGACGAAATGCTCAAATTGAATAAAGAATATCTTCTTGAAAAATGAACAAACGACGAAACGTTCATTAACAAATTAACTACGCTGATATAAGTTTCAACGACAAACTAAGATATATTTAAACATAAAAATTCTAAATTATTAAAATGTTGACTACCTGTTTTCTGATGTTTCTGAAAAGTGAAAATCAGTGGTGAGTTTTACTTTTAAACTGAAATTTTTATCCAATAAAAATTACTGTACTGCGTGACCAATAAAAAACGTGTTTAAATTAAATTAAAAGTCAGTCCAAACTAAACCTTGACCAGAGATGTGTTCACTGTTAAATGAAGTGAGACCAATTGTCCATTTACCAATTCACTAAATTATTTTTCTGATTCTTCAATAACTATTCATTTTGAATCAAAAATTTACATATGGTTATATTATATCAATCAAACGGATTTTGTTGTACATGTTTCAACAATAATAGAAAAATTATATAGATTTCAAAATTAACGACACAATGTTTTCAGATTTTTTTTCAACAATTTTATGTGCTTTCAATACAAATTATTTTAAGGTAGTTCAGGGGTATACCGCCATCTTGAATTGTATTAATTAAAATATTCACTGTCTGTTTGTGTGAATACTTGCCTCTGTGGTCATATCAAGCTTGTGACTAGTTATAATATAAATGCGCATCTTTTAATCCATCAGTATAGACAGTTGAAAAATCTGAATAATTGGCTTTACTTTTAGCATAGTGTTGCTGAATTAAAAGAGGATTTGTTTCATTTTTATTGTGTTCATGAAGATCAAATATCATTTTTGGTTTGGGAAGTTCCCATGAAGGACGTTTACAAGTTTCAACTTGAGCAACATATTTTAAATCAAAAGTAGCTAAATGTGGTTTTAAACATATACCTAACGGAGGAATTTTATTTTCATGTTTTGCAAAAATATCTTCATAAATTGGATTAAAAACACAACTGTAGGCAGGATTATCTGAATAGGCTTTTAGTTTGACAGCATATTGAAGTCCAAGCTTCAAACGTCTGTTAGAGAGTGAGTGCTCATCAGCCTCTACATACAGACTCTCAACTGGTGAGGTTTTAAAGGCGCCAAGACAGAGAAGCAAACCCTGGTGATGCACAGCATCGAGAATCTGTATGTAGGACTTCCTTGCAGAGCCATACACTATAGAGCCATAATCTAGTTTAGATCTAACTAGAGATCTTATATAAATTAAGTAAAATGTTGCGATCAGCACCCCAGTAAGTGCTGCCGACAACTTTTAAAATATCTAGTGCTTTTAAACATCTCGATTTTAACATTTTGATATGGGGTAGAAAGGTTAACTTTTTATCAAAAATTAACCCAAGAAATTGGTTTCATGAACCATTTTAATTGGGTTTCCGTACAAAGTGAGTTCTGGATCAAGATGCAATTTCCTTTTGTTACAAAAATCCATCCCGACCGTTTTTGAAGTGGAAAATTTAAAACCATTTTCCGAAGCCTATTTTTCAATTCTTCCAAGACATAACTGTAATTATTTTTCTATGTTATTCATATTTTTGCCTCTGTAACATGTTAAAAAATCATCAACATACAATGAACCTTCAATATTACTTTTTAAAACTTCAACAAGGCTGTTGATTTTAAGACTAAATAATGTAACAGATAAAATACTGCCCTGAGGGACACCCATCTCTTGATCATATAGATCAGACATGGTTGAATTAACTCTAACATTAAATTGTCTGTTAGAGAGAAAAATTAGAAATAAAATTTGGCATATCGCCTTTCAACCCAATATCTTTTTCAGATGTTAATAAAGAATTGCCGTCTTTCAAATGTTTAACAGTGGCTGTAGAATTTTTACCTTTTATTTTTTGTATCATGTTCCATACTTATGTCATCGGAGTGCGAGATGTTATCCCCTAGACAAATTTCTTCAAAGACGTTCACCCCCCAAGGGTGTGCGGGATGTACAAATTTGCAGCCACGTCCGGTCAGAATGGGGACGTTAAATCCGATGCCTCGTGTAAAGAAAGTTTCACGCTCTTTGCACGTTAAGAACCCTTGCAACAACTCTTTGAGGGGTCCGTAGGTGACCTGTCGCAAGGCTAAATGTCTGTCCATATCCAATATTCCCTCATTTCCCGTGGCAGTCTAAATTTCGCAGACCTTAACCCCGAACGCCCCTATTACAGAACCTACCTATTGTATTTATTGTTAATTTGTTCTCGTCCTGAATATGCATGAAATATTTGCCACTGGACGTTAAGCAACCAACAATCAATCAATCAATCAAAGACGTTCGTCGTGCTTACCTGCAAGTCCGCCGTGCCTTAGCGCGAAAAATACGGAAATTACCCAAGTTTTCCGCTGTAAGATGTTGATTGAACCGTCTTTCAGATTTTTTTACGGTCACCTATGGCTTGATCACAGGCGTCATCAAACCATGGTTTGCTGGGATGTTTCGGATTTGACGAGGTCTTAGGTATTGTTTTGTTAGCAATTGATGTTAAATCTGTATTAAAAGTTAAAATTGGATCTTCAACAGCTTCAAACATCTTCGACTGTAATTCCTCTCTGCAAAGAGTTTCAAACAAAGGCCAATCAGCCTTGTCAAGTTTCCAACGAGGGACTCTTTGTTGAGCTGAAGTAAACAGATGTTCAAGAATTAGTGGAAAGTGGTCACTTCCACAAAGATCATCATGTACACGCCACGAAAAATCTAGTAGAAGGGAAGGATCGCATATAGTTAAATCAATCGAAGAATAAGCTCCGCTTCCGGGATGAAGATAAGTATCGGATCCATCATTAAAAATACACAGGCCTTCTTGAGACACAAAGTCTTCTATAATTTTGCCTTTATCATTCAAAATCTTATGAAAAGTTATTCAACAAGCATCGCTCAATTTGGCACTCAGATGTGGGTGGGGAGCAAGAAGGTGAACTATGTTTTTTATCAATAGTACCGCTTTAAAATAAGCTCGGGCCGTCTTGACCTCGTTGTAGGGTATGAATGATGCGTTCATTGTTGAAGACTCGCATCAACTATTGAGATAAAGAACAGGAATAAAGGTCCCGTTCTTTGATAATATTTTCTTTATATTTTGGTATTGTGTGATTTTATCTCGTGTACATTTACTTTATCTTTTTATTTTCTATGTACATTTTTTAAAATTGTGGTTGAAATTTGAATATATGGCACGGGAGTCTGTCTGACATTGTCAGAATTCCAGCTTCTGGTGTAATGTCCGTACAATTTCCAGGTGGCTTAATTAAGTGTAGAGAATGATAAGACTACTACTTATTAAATCAATTTACTGTATTATTTCAGATGGATCCCAAGAAATATTTTGTGATGTGAGATGAACATTTACATACGTATATACCAGCATAAAGGGACAATTATGTTGCCAGGAGATACTTAAAAGATCTGATGCACAGTGACAGAAGAGAAAAACTTCGAGGCAATACAGACGCAAAAAAGGCAGTCAGAACAATTGAAACAGCTAATTTAACTATGTATTTTCTAACAATGCTTATAACCAAGTGAAAAGCCCAAAATAGGGATGGATTTGGAAATGTACATGTTCAAAAATGTTGGTCAATATTTTCTAACACTTCTAGGAGGCCGATCTCATATTTTGGCCACAACCAGGAGTTGGAAAATATAGAAAACATCACTGCATTAAGTTTATTACGATATGTATACACTCGAGACAGTTATATTATAATATTGATGGCGCTAGGCCTATCCAGCTTTTTAAGTAATTAAAATTTAACTGTTCAGTGGAAAGCAGGTTCTGCTCACCCTTCCGGAGCCCCAAAGATCACCCCAGTTTCTGATGAGGGTTTTTTTTTTGCTTAGTTTATACAACAAGCTTACTTTACAAGGTATCAATACCCGCCATGTTTTGAAGCAGTTTCATTAAAGAAAAATTGTGTTTTACTATAGAATTATCAATTTGCGTATCTCAATTAAACCAATATCATTAAGGTCAAAGAACTAGAACTGGGTCAATATCCCTAATGGACCTTGAGATGAGGAACACAGTTTTATGACTCTCATTAAAAAATTAGTCCGCCATACAATTGTGGAAGCTGTGATTTTAAAAAGTGACATAAATGAACTAGGACTGGTGTTTTATAGAGCTGATGTGATGTGAAAAAAAGTATAAAAAAATAAACCTGAACAAATAATTACAAAGGACATATTTTTTAATGATTTTTATGGTCAGAATTTTGTGATTATTTCCTGAGGAGAGTGACATTTTTCACTATCTTTCGGGGTTGGGCACTTGACGGGAAAACGAATCACACTTGCCACCCCGAAAATCGCACCACACATGTGCAAGTGTCTCAGCTTCAAAATGAGCCATCATACATATCCAAGTTTACGATATGGCCTGAGCAACAGAAGAAAACGTTAACATTACCGCCTATGGATAATCTATTACGCATATTGCCCCAATTTGTGGCCTTGAATTTCAAAGGTGATGGAGTGTTTCATGGCTCAGTGACCACAATTTAGGATGATAGCTGCTGAAATCAAGGTCAGTTACACTCTTTTAGTGCTAATTAATCAAAACAATACAAAATGGCTTCCCAAACTTTTGATTTTTATCAAAAATATACTTATTTTTTGTTGTTAATTAGCATTGATGCAGAAAATGGGTCATGTAAAATCTGGACAGGGGCCATTCAGAGGAAAAGAAATTGTATTTTAAGGATGCTAAATGTGGCTTATCCAAATGAAAAAAGGACAAAAATGAATGTTGCACGCTTGGCAAAAATGTTACAGTTAAATACAATTGACATTGATAGAAATTTAGATGCCTCGCACCTCTGCCATAATGCCTTGTGTGTTAATGCTGACCACATAATTTTTTAGCCCCATGATTTAAATAATCACCGTAAGGTCTGTGTAACTTCACAAAAATGCACCACTCATGAACTGCATGGCACAACATATCTTAACTGCATGTTGCATCTTAAACTGTGGTTTGTTCTATTTTTAATTCTAGAATTTAAGTCTCCGAGGTGACATATTGCACACTTCACTATGCATGAATCATTTACTCAAATACAAGTTTCTTACACTGCTAAAGAAATGAAAATGGGATAAAAGCCCTCCCTCTCACCCTCCAAGACACTGAAACAAACATGCATGTTTATATTAACCTGAGGTAACACATTTTACGGCTTGTTTCACGAGAGTTTACCTTTTATTGACATAGGAGGGGGAGTAACTCTTGTTGTTTACAAATGTACTTTTAACTGTGTCAGGAAATTGGGACATTCAAACCACATGAACCAACTAAAGTAAGCATGCTTTAAAAGAAATCTTCAATACAAAAACCAAACAAATCAAACAAAAACTACAAAATGATAAAATTAGGATATCAAAAGTAAAATAAAAAGCTTACAGAACTGAAATAGTTGCAAATGGCAGTAAATATGGACATGATTTTATTTTATTTTATTTCCTTGTATGTTGTATCAATGAATGTGTGCATGATGGGAAAAATAAATTTTTATGCAATACATGTGTGTTAATTTGCATGTATGATGCTGTGTGTGGTATGTTTCAATGTCAATACACTCTGTAAGATGTGTACAACTCTAAATTATGATGTCATAATGCAACGACGTCACAAAAACAATGACGTCACAATGTACTCTTCACCAAAGAAATAACCCATTTTTCCGAATTCAACACACAGACAAAAAAACCTAAAATTCTTATTCCTTGATGGATTTTGAAAACAAGACTAGTTTTAAAAAGGTCTGTGACTAATCTTTACAGTAATGAAGTATCATATATTAGAGATAGTTATTCAATAAAAAAAAATATAATAATAAACAAAGTTATTCAATAAAAAAAAATATAATAATAAACAAGACTATCAGGGTGGAAAAATTTCTTAAATCTGATAGTTTTTAAGTGAAAAACACTATATTTACATGATTTATCAACAAAAAATGAGGATTTGTAGAAAGTCTGTATGGTAGAAGAGGCTTATGAATTGCAGTTATACCAATAAAAGTTAAAACAAATGTTTAAAATGTAAATTTATAACATATGCTTATTGTGTTTTTTTCTTCCATAAAAAGGATATTGAACAGTTATAAACATTGCTACCTAAAAGTATTAAAATGAGCTTATTTTATTTCAGATATGGCTAAAACTTCACAGAATTGTTCAGAAATGTGTACTAAAGGGATACAAACTGCAATATAAGTGGAATCTGACATTAGCTGATCTAATATGGGTCAATATCCCTAATGGACCTTGAGATGAGGAACACAGATTTATGACTCTCATTAAAAAATTAGTCCGCCATACAATTGTGGAAGCTGTGATTTTAAAAATTGACATAAATGAACTAGGACTGGTGTTTTATAGAGCTGATGTGATGTGAAAAAAAGTATAAAAAAATAAACCTGAACAAATAATTACAAAGGACATATTTTTTAATGATTTTTATGGTCAGAATTTTGTGATTATTTCCTGAGGAGAGTGACATTTTTCACTATCTTTCGGGGTTGGGCACTTGACGGGAAAACGAATCACACTTGCCACCCCGAAAATCGCACCACACATGTGCAAGTGTCTCAGCTTCAAAATGAGCCATCAAACATATCCAAGTTTACGATATGGCCTGAGCAACAGAAGAAAACGTTAACATTACCGCCTATGGAGAATCTATTACGCATATTGCCCCAACTCATGACTGGTGTCAGTATACATATCACAATAAAGGTCCACTATGGATCGATATATACTAACTGGTGCCAGTATAAATATCACAATAAAGGTCCAGTGTATATCGATATATATATATACTTATATATTTAAGGGTCAATCATCAAGCCCAACAACTTAAACTTAATCAAAAATTGTTTTTATAAAGAATGAACTAGTAACCGTGCTGAAATTCAAGACCAATGCATAAGTCAAAACAGAAAACATTTTCAAGGCTGTCCTTAATCTCGGTCATTAATAAGACTTTAATTATTTGATATTAAATGACCTTAATATAAATAAACGACAAATAACTGAAATGATGTGTATATCTATGAAATATCACTGAATATATTTTACAAATAAAAATAAAATTAAGTATCTTTCAAATGTACATGTAAAACAAAAAACAAGCAAATGTGAGCAAACATATACTATCAGATGTAATATGATTAAAATATGCTTCATATTTTTTTATTTTTCATTCTTTGTTTTGCATTGTCATTGTATTCTTTTGTAACGACGGAAGGAAAGTAGTGAGGTATCCATTGTTTGTTTTTTTATTGTTTTGGCAATTATTCTTTCTTTCTTTCTGTTTTGTTTTAATTTTTTATATTTATTCTTTTGTCGATATAAGAAAAGTAATGAAGTTACAACACTTCCAGCTCTTCCGTAATAACTAGCTGATTTTGTCATAGGAGAGGGGAAAAGTGGTATCAATGTTACTAGTTAACAAACAACAGAAAGCAAAAATATACATCATTTATCCTGTAATAAGCCTTCTATTGTACAAATAATAGGCGTGCAAATAATTTTTGGATTTATTTGTATAGTATGCAAATTATGCATTACGCCTCGTCTACATGATACCGGAACTATTTTTTCATCATTTTAACCTTGCGGGACCGTGCTTGACAACTATGTAAACAAAACGCCGCAATCCTTGACTGGTACGGAACATTTGTTATATTACATAACGTTCCGACTCAGGAACCAGCATAATAATCTCGTTAGCAATAGATATAATAAACAAACATTCTTTTAATTGATTTATGAAAAAAAATGTGGTTGAACAGATGCATTTTCTAAAATGGGGGATCTCCATTATTTGATTGCTGCAAAAAATATTTCGTCTGCTAAAACCAAACATGTTCTCTGATTCTGAAGAAAATAATATGCAAATGCCTCAGTTAAGACTTATTTGTTCACCTTGTGCTAAATAACCTGAAGATGATTTCATGGACACAGACCTGCAGGACACCCTCACCCAGTTAGATAGGCCAAATGAACAAGATTTGTCAGAAAATCCTAACACCACAAATCAAGTTCAGAAAATGCATCTGTAAATCAACATTTTGACGCCCAATATATGGACATGACACAACATGATGTTGAATAATTTATTGAAGGCCAACAAAATAAAAACACTTTAACAAAAACAGTACAAGAACTACTGAACAAATTTCTGAAAGTTAACAATGAAAACTGAGAATTAAAGACTATTCGAACAGAGGAATTGGACCCTTTACTGGCCAACTAACTATTAACTCTTCATAAAAAAGATGGAGGAGAATATGAGCCATACACTTTGAGATCAATAGTCAGTTGTAATTATTGCCGTATTTGTCATATTAGAATATAAATTACTCATGGGGGCTTGAATATATTGTGATTTTACAACTGGTTGTCCCTTTATGCCGATATTTTATCCCTCGCTGTCGCTCAGGGTTAAATATATTGTATAAAGGGCCAACTCGTAGAAAAATCACGATATATTTAAGCCCAACCCGTGGTTAAATCACGATATATGCAAGCCTCCATAATTTTTTTCTTAATTATATTACACATATTCCTTTTTCGTGTCATCAAATGAAAACAAATGATTGAAAAACAATCATTTATACGATCATTGTATACAGTTATCTACATGTGTTAATGCTATGTCAAATAGCCCTAGCTTAAGAGCCACAGCTATTGAAGCAACAATAAATTTACAGTCACCATGAACGAAAAAGTGTGTATCTAGCCCTCGCACAAATGCAAAAAGAAAATTGGTAGTGGGCGGTCTTTATTCGTTCAAATAAACATTAAAAAACTAAGGAAAGAAAGAAGCAAACAATTTGTTCGCTTAAGACAACTTACTGCTCATGCTCTGAAATTTAAATGAATTTACTATATAAGAAAATGCTTGTACGAAGTCTGGAATATGACAGTTGTTTATTCGTTTAATGTGTTTTGTCTTTTGGTTTTGCTGTTTGATTAGGGACTTTCCGTTTTGAATTTTCCTCTGAGTTCAGTATTTTTGTGATTTTACTTTTTACTGCAGTTTGCAACTCACATGAAAACTAAATTTAAATCGTTTAGATTTGTTTTAATGTAAAATACATCATGAAATTTTTATACACTAAATATCAACAATTGCAGCAAAATTTTCTTTTAACAAAATATGTTTCAAATGTAAAAACTTGCTTTTCATTGGAATCAAGAAGGCAGACAAGACAACACATCCATCAAGAATATATACAATTTAGTAAAACTTAGAGGAAAGGCGTACAAAAATCTTACGAGTTGGAATAAGAAAGCGCACATTTCAACCATCTTGGAAATCACATTATCCGTAGCTATAAGAAATAAGTAACAGTTGTACCATAATTCGCAACATTTATACTTCAAATGAAAAGACTGGAAGCTTTGTGACTGGTTCCACCAACTTCCGATTGGAAAAAATCAGAATTCATGAAAACTCAGAGGGGCACACCATGAATACAAACAAGTGGAAGTCAAAATATTTGGAAAAATTGACGACGACACACAATCTGCTAAATCTAGAATATTATGTCTTAAATTGTTACTTTTACATCTATATGTTGAACGGTCTGTCTCGACCAAGTTTCCAAGCTCTCTGTTACATTGACATCCATGAGAAAATAGTAACCGTTAAAAACATCTTTAAATCCAAAAATTATTAATGATGAAAAAGCCGACCAAACTAATGATGACCATGTGTACAATTTGATCAAATGCGTGATTAAAAACATGAAGGATATGGGTAGCTTTATTGATTTGATATCTATCGGTTTTGAAAATAGATTACTTGTACGAAACATAGCATTCCATCTACATTTAGATATTGATAAGTTTTATGCCACTTGACAATGTCTGATATATGATATGACGACAAATCTGTTACATTCTGGTGTACGGTGTATAACCTTTTCAAGGGAAAGGGGATACACGTTGTCTGTGGATATAAAGGAGACGGTTTAGGCGTCGAAGAAAGTTCCATCGGCCAAAAAACTTCAAATTAGGTTTGACGTGCCTTCAAATCCCATTATAACCAAAGAAATTGCCAAATTTATAGCAGATGCTGGACATCCAGGAATACTAAATATATCCCTCGACACATTCGCTGCTAGACAGCAAGGAAGAGATATTAAACTTTCAATAGACAAAAAAAAATGCTACAAAGTTTAGAGAAAAAATCCAGTCCAGAGAAGCCCGACAGCGACTTATGGTATGTACCAAACGACGAATCTCAGGACTCAGTCTACCTATTAGAGACTCCTCATAACACATCAAAACAGAACCTAAGGTAATTGCATTTGAGAGCTGCTTAAAGTCATTGTTTGCGCGAGTTATTTTCACAGATTGTGGAGAACCGACTGATGATTACGAATCCATGATAACATGTAACAGTACTGTAATGAAAATAAATTTCTTATGTAGGATAATAAATCCGCAAAGCATTGGCAACGGATCACAGTGACAAGATATATCAGTTAGACGTTTGGTGTTTTTCAAAGTCAATTGAAATAGATGATCTAAGCCACATAACCAAAAAAGCTACTAAATGAGGTTAAGCTATTGATTCCCTCCATCTGTAATCACATTCGGTGGTGCTCCCGACAAACTGAATTTGATCCGGATAAGCTTAAATGGATTGATTGATTGATTGTTAGTTGCTTAACGTCCAGTGGCAAATATTTCATGCATATTCAGGACGAGAACAAGTTCACAATAAATACAATAGGTAGGTTCTGTAATAGATTAAGGGATTAAGGTCGGAGAAATTTAGACTGCCACGGGAAATGAGGGTATATTGGATAGGGACAGAAATTTAGCCTTGCAACAGGTCACCTACGGACCCCTCAAAGAGTTGTTGCAAGGGTTCTTGACGCGCAAAGAGCGTGGCACTCTCTTTACACGAGGCATCGGATTTAACGTCCCCATTCTGACCGGACGTGGCTGCAAATTTGTACATCCCGCACAACCAAACGGACGCCCCACTTTAGCACGGGTTTTACTGCCGGTCGGAGGAAGACCAATGGTGACCATACTTCTATTCCCAAGTCACCCTTGGGGGTAGCTTAAATGGAGAAGCCAGCTATTTCACATTACAAATAGGCACTCCTTTCCTGAAATGATTGTCACACAATGTGCAATCTCACGGAGCCCAGACGATATTAGGAAAAATAAATGGCTAAACCAAGACAGCAAAAAAAGCTATACAGCTTTAGAAAAGGTCATCACAGACTAGCTTATTTTGCGGGACATACGTCAACTAGATCCTTTTTGCCTCACAAGAGCATTAGACACGTACTTCATGATGCAGAAACACTGTCCCAATGCAAGCGACTCAAGTTATGGGTAGCCACTTGAAGTTCAAAGATGGAACAAGTCCAAAAAGTCAACACAAGCACATGATCAACATGGTTTAC